TTCCAAATGTTCTCTGTGGCATGCTTGTACTCCTTCCTACACACAAAAATGTAATTAAAAGAACTGTTATTTATTTATTTATTTATTTATTTATTTATTTGTGGGTGTGTGGGTGTCTATGGGTGTGCACCAGCTGTGGTTCATGGAGCAGGGAGCAGGCTGTGGAATTGGTTCTCTCCCTCCAGCACTTGGGCTCTGGGAACTGAACTCAGGTCTTCAGCCTTGCCAGCAGCATCTTCACATACTCTGCTTTCTCATTGGCTCCCACAATTCTTTTAAAAAGCCACTCTGGGGACCTGGAGAGATGGCTAAATGGTTGAGAGCACTGGCTGCTCTCCCAGAGAACCTAGGTTCCATTTCTAGCACCCATTTTATTCCAAGGAACCTGATGTCCTCTTCTGGCCTCTGTGGGCACCCATATGCATGTGAGTATAACCTTCCCCCCTACCCCAATACACATCACAGATGAAAACAAAATAAACATTTTTTAAGCCACCAATTTAAAGCCAGACATGGTGATGTTTGCTGTAATCTCAGTACTGAGGCAATAGGGACAGGAGGTACAGAAGTTCAAGGTGAACTTTAGTTACATAGTGAGCTTGAGACCAGCCTCCAGGGTACATGAGATCCTCTTAAAGAAACAAGAAAAAAGCCGGGCATTGGTGGTGCACGCCTTTAATCCCAGTACTTGGGAGGCAGAGGCAGATGGATCTCTCTGAGTTCGAGGCCAGCTTGGTCTCCAGAGCGAGTGCCAGGATAGGCTCCAAAGCTACACAGAGAAACCCTGTCTCGGAAACCCCACCCCCCAAAAAAAGAAAGAAGAAAAGAAAAAAGAAACAAGAAAAAACAGAAGTGATGTGTCTAGAAGTCATTCTGGTCTTTCTGTCTCTCTGTTCATCCTCTAGAATTAGTTCAATGATCCAATCCAACCATGCCATGGGCATAGAAGGGCACTGAGGCCATCAGCTCCAATAACTGGCTGGAGATGACTATAGTTCCTTGATGGAAGAATATGAAAGAGACTGAGCCAAGGGACTTAGCTCCAGTATCCTTCTCCAACAGAAACTGAGCTAAAGTTTTCAAGGTGTGTATGTGTGTGTGTGTGTGTGTGTGTGTGTGTGTTACAGTGCACATGAAGAAAATAGAGTACAACTTTGGGGAATCAGTTCTCTCTACTATGAGTCCTTGGGGTCAAACTGAGGTCATCAGTCTCAGAGGCAAACACCTTTACCTCCTAATCCATCTCACCAGTCCCAACAGTTCCTTTCTCTTTTAAAAATTAAGTTTTATTTTTTACATTAAATTTTTTTAGTTAAAAAGTTTATTTATTTATTTAATATGTATGATTGTTTTTTTCCTGGATGTATATCTATGTCCTATGTGCTTGCCTGGGGCCTGATGAGGCTAGAAGAGGGCATCAGATCCCCTGGGACTGGCATTTATAGACAGTTGTGAGTGGCTCTGATGGTTCTGGAAACTGAACCCAGGTCCCCTGGAAGAGTTGTCAGTACTCTTAACCGCTGAGCCAACTCCCTGGTCCCAAAGGTTTTCTTCTTGACAAGATGAATATGAGATATTTATAAAAATAACCAAAGTAGGGCAGACGAGATAGCTCAGTAGGTAAAGGAGTTTGTGACCAAATAGAACAACTTGAATTCAATCCCCAGGAGACACATGGTGGAAGGGGAGAACTGATTGCTGTTAGTTGTCTTCTGGCCTCCATATGTGCACCACTGTATGCGAGTACACATGTACACACACAGAGTAAATAAAAAAAAAAAGTATTGTGAAGCTCCAGCTATGACAAACAAGGAAATTGAGGCCTCATGGGGGGGCTTTCAGGTTCAAGGCCAACCAGAGTTACATGAAGAGTTCAAAACAAAAATAGGACCAACCCAGGGCTGGAGAGAGGCTTGGTGGTTAAGAGCACTTGCTGCTCTTCCAGAGGATCAGGGTTCAATTCCCTGCAACCACATCAGGTAGCTCATGATTTCCTGCAACTCTAGCATCAGGCCATCTGATACCCTCTCCTGGTCTCCCTGGGAACCTGCATTTGCATGGTATTCACTTATATAAACATAGCTTATATATAAATAAAAAGATGAAACTAGACAACGAACAAAAGACATGATCACATGCTCCAATCAGCATAGAACCACTCAGACGAATATTAGCTAGAGTAAAGTGACGGAGATGGCTGGGGTTCTAGAAGCACCTAGCTCTGCACTCAAACTCTAAACTCAAAACTGTGTGACCACACAAGCTTCCAGACCTCAGTTCCCTCAGAATGGTAGAAATGCCTGCGGTATCTAGCACTACAGAGTTCAGAATGCTGGAGGTTCTTGCTTTATGTCTGAGAAACACGGCAGGCAGTCTCTGCAGAGCTGCGGTGGAGCTCTCAGCTTGCCTCCAAGTCTCAGGATATCACCCGAAACAAGATCACAAACTCAGGCAACACTGTGTCCTTCCACATAACAACCACTACAGACAGGAGACCTTGTCTCCAGGAGCATCTGCCAGCTGCAAGAAGGTCATAGCCTTCTCAGGGCCTGACAAAACCCTCTCCAGGCTAGCACTTGCACAGTGACACCTGGGGCTCCTTCCAGGCAGTTCCTAGTCTCCACTCCTCATCCGCTGCATTCCTGTTACACTGGGAATCGAACCCAGGGCCTTGTGCCTGGGAGGCAGGCACTTTGCCACTGAGCTACATCACTCTTGAGGTCCCTGTCACTTTCTTAAACATGAATATACAATGCAAATTGTTTCCAGTTACACAGGAGTCAGAATTTTTTGTAGAAATTAGGAAGAATACAGAAAAATGTAAAAGTAAACTCCTGTGATACATAGATAAGTCTGGAAGACGGCAGTGTATATTATACACCTCTATAACCATGTTTGGAACTAGAGTGCTATGTGTGGCTTCTAATACCTTAATTCTTTTCAGACATTATGAATATTTATCATGTTTCATTAATTGGCCTGTGAATATGTTAATTATAATGACATAGGTGAAACATTCTGGGGATAAACTTAGTTTTTTAATTTTACTGTGAGGCGTTTAGGTTATTTCTTTCTTTAAAAATTATTTTCACTGGGTGGTGGTGTCACATGACTTTAATCCAGCACTCGGGAGGCAGAGGCAGGTGGATCAAGACCAGCCTGGTCTACAAGAACTAGTTCTAGGATGGCCTCCAAAGCCACAGAGAAACCCAGTCTTGAAAAACATATATATATATATATATATATTTTTCCCCCCCTGGGGCTGAAGAGATGGGTCGGTGGTTTAAAGTACCTGCTGCTCTTCCAGAGGACCTGGATTTGATTCTCAGCACCCACATGTGGCTTATACTTATCTGTAACTCCAGTTTCTAGGGAAGCCAACATCCCCTTCTGATCTCTTTGGGCACCAGGTACACACACAGTACAAAAACGTACATGGAGGCAAAACATTCATACTCATAAAATAATGTAAAAAATTTAAATTATATGTATATTAGTGTTTTGTCTGCATGTGTGTCTATGCACTGTGTGTGTCTGGTACCTAAAGGGCTGCTGGATCCTCTGGAAGTAGAGTTACAGATGGTTGTGAGTCACCACACACAAGTGCTCAGATTCAAACCTGGGTTCTCTGGAAGAGCAGCCAGTGCTCTTGCTGGCCATCACTTGGTCCCCTTATTTCTCTTTTTGATTTTTTGTTTGTTTTTGTTAAGACAGGGTCTCTTGGAGCCCAGGTTGGCCTTGAACTTGCTGTGTAGGTGAAGATGAACTTGAATTCATGATCCTCCTGTCCTTACCTCCCAAGTGCTGGGATTACAGGTGTGAACTGCCATGCCCAATTTTCGTTTCTTTTAAGACAGGTTTTGTCTGGCCTGGGACTCACTCTGTAGATCCACCTGCCTCTGTCTCTCAAGGGCTGGAATTAAAAGTGTGTGCTATCATGTCTGACATTATTTCTTTTTTTTTTTTTAAAAAGATGCATTTTATTTTTAATTATGTATATGCATGTATCTGTCTTAGGATGTAGATGTGAGCACAGATGCCCATGGGTACCAGAAGAGGATGTAAGATCTCCTGGATCTAACTGGAGTTACAGGCAGTTGAGGGCCACTCAGCTTTGGAGCTGGGAGCAGAACTCCGGTCCTCTGAAAGAGCAGTACATGCTATCAATCACTGAAATATCTCTCTAGCCCCGTTATTTCTATTTTTAATCATCAAATTATATTTTATGAGCATACTGGTTTACAAAAGCTTGAGCAAGGGTGGGACAAAGCTCAATGGCAAGGCTTGTACAAGGCCCTGGTGCAACCCTTTCTTAGTGACTTTTCTCATTGTTGTAACTAAATGCATGACAAGAAGCAAAACAGAGGAGGAAAGATCCATTCTGGCTTAGAGTTCAAGGGGTTCAGCCCATCATGGCAGGGAAGGTATGGTGATTAGTGTCTAGGATGAACGGTTCCATTGCTTCTGAAATTAGGAAGCAGACATTGGACCATAGGAGACCTAAGAGCCCTTCTGGCTTTGATATGCCATAGACAGGAATCAGGGATAAGGTGATGTTATCTTGCCATCTCATTAATCATCAACCCTGACCTGTGTTTGCTTTGAACAGGGAAGGGGCTGGAGGTTTGACATACTTAGCTGCATGAGCATCACGGAGGAGGTATCACTGGAGTAGAGGAAAGGAGGTACTTGCTTATGGGGATTCGGGCAAGCCTGGAGTCTTTCACACTACCCAGCTTCTCAGCAGCCCAGATCAGAACAATACAACCGATGGGCAAATGCCTATGATGGTGGTTCTCAGCCTTCCTAATGCTGTGGCCATTTAATATAGTGCCTCTTGTTGTGTGTGGTGAATACCCCAACTATAAATTATTTTTGTTACTAAATAACTATAATTTTGCTACTATTATGAATCGTAATCAAAATATCTGTGTTCTTTCTCTCTCTTTCTACTTCCCTCCCTCTCTTTTGTTTTTTGTTTGTTTTGGGGGGTGGTAGTTTTTGTTTGTTTTCTTTTGAGACAGGGTTTCTCTGTGGAGTCCTGGCTGTTCTGGAACACAACACACTCTGTGGATCAGCCTGGCCTCAAACTCAAAGATCCGACTGCCTCTGCTTTCTAAACTCTGGGATTAAAGGTATGTGTGGCACCACCCCTGGGTCCAAAGGGTCTCAATCCACAGGTTGAAAACCATTGGTCTAGGAGGAGAGTATACCAGCACAACTGCCATCTCCCATCAGTGTGCTCCCTGGTCTTCTAGTTTCACTGCGAGCAGTAAGAAGTCCCTTTTTCAAGAACAGAGACTATAGGCTGCCCAGGGTAGGATATTTACAATCAGAAAGTGCAGAAACCAACTTCATGGCTAGTATAATAATGGGCTTGACACTCTAATGGGGCTGGTATCACACGAAGCCATTTGCTCATCTAAAACTAGATCCAGGTGTGGCAGCGCATGCCTGTCATTCAAGGCAGGAGAATCTCATGTTCTAGACCAGCCGGGGCTACATAGTAAGAATCTGTGCCAAAGAGAAGTAGGTTCTCTTGGAATGTAACAGTGGCCCTGGCAGTCAGTGGACAGAGAAAGAAGCCTAAAGACACAGAAGGGCAGTTGAAGAGTGGGCCAAATCCCAGTTCCCAGGAGGTGCTCCACTCGTCTTGAGAAGATTGTTCACAGGATAACGGGTGGTGTCAGTCTGAACAGTGGTCACTCAGCTTTGTGGCACAGGCTTACTCTTCCCAAGGCAGGTTTTGTTTAGTTTTATTATTTGTTTTTGAGACAGGGTCTCATGTAGACTAGGCTGACCACCAATTTGCTATATAGTAAGGATGACATAGAACTCTTCGTCTTCTTGCCCCTACCTCCCCAGGGCTATGATCATTGCTTGTTTCTAGGCAGATTACAGATGTCTCTTCATTGTATGATCTATGAACACACAAGTCAGATGTATTCCCTGCCACCCAATGATGCATATGATGGACCCAAATGGCTCTCCTGGGTCATTAACTTGAACTTTCACCATTTTAGGCTATCGCTATAGAAACTACAAGGTGACAGGAAGCACAGACTCAAGCATAACACCAATGGAGGCCAATGTGGGTGTGTTTACAGGAGGCTGGCATAGTCAGCCTCTCAGGGAAAGATTCTAGCCTTCTCCTATAAGTCCAACCACAAACCAGAAAGCAGAATTAAGGAGCTGTATGAGCTCAGAAGGTATGTCACCAAAGGTTGTGTCTCAAAGGTTCCTAGAATTTTTTTTTTTTTTTTTTTGAGTCAGGTTGTTATACAGACTACCCTCAAACTCACTATCTAGCTAAAGATAACTTTGGATTTTTTGATTGTTTGTTTGTTGTTTGGGGGCTTTTTGTGTATCCTAGCTGTCCTGGAACACATACTGTAGCCCAGGCTGGCCTCAAACTCAGAGATCCACCTGCCACTGCCTCCCAAGTGATGGGATTAACTTCAAACTTCAACTTCAAACTCTTGATCCTCATGCCTCCACCTCCCTAGTTTTGGGATTATTGGCATGTACCACCATACCCAGTTTTATGTAGTGCTGGGGATAGAACCCAGGAACCTATATATGCCAGATAAACATTCTCCCAGATGAGTTGCGTCCCCAGGACCTAATTCTTAGGAATTTTTCTGGTGCATTTTAGGTTGAAAGGTCTAGCTCATTGTGTAACAATGGCTTTGAGGGAGCTCTGGGTATGGAAGCTGGCAGCGGATTTATCCAGAATGATTGATTTATGGAACATTATTTTCTGGCTAAAAGCATTAGCTCAGAGGCCATGTGAGAGCCAGAGCTGCTGTGACTGCTGGAACAGAGGCCATGCGCATGCCGGTGTGATGTGTCAGTAATGGCTAAGGCAGAAGGGGCAGTGACAGCTGCCGCATGATCAGACCAGCAGCTTCTCCCACGCTCCCTGACATGCATGCCTTTGGCAACCCCGGGGAAAAGGTCAAATCTGCTTGGGACCCCCACCTGCATATCACGGTTAGCCAGTGACAGTCTCATCCCTACCCACCTTCAAGTCTCAGCCAAGATACCATTGTTCATGTCACTCTCACTGATCTAGGGACAAAGTCACTGTGCTCCAGGTTAGGAGAACACAGGAAGTCCATCACTAGCAAATGCAGAGGGCTGTAAAGAACCAATGCACACACACAAACCAGCTAAACAAGAAGGACAATAGCCAGGCCCTTAGGTGGCCATTAGACAAAGGTGCTGCAGGCTAATTCTCGTGGGAAAATGCCCCTCGTGGGAAAATGCTCCTCGTAGAGCACCAGAAGCTAGCCAGATGCAATATAGTCCCAGATTTAGGGCTGGAGAGATGGCTAAGTAGTTAGGAGCACTTGCTGGCCTTCCAGAGAATTGCAGTTCAGTTCCTAGCACCCATGTCATCAGCTCACAACTTTCTGTAACTACAGCTGGCATATGTGTGGTATGCACGCACGCACACACACATACACACCAAAAGATCTTATAAGATTTATAAGATCTAGATTTATAAGAACAGTCACCCTCATCTATATGACATATGTGGAGAAACCAGGCTATTTCTTCTTCTTCTTCTTCTTCTTCTTCTTCTTCTTCTTCTTCTTCTTCTTCTTCTTCTTCTTTTAAATCTTATTAACTCTTTGAGAATTTTTCCCAGTGTATTTTGTAGAGGCTATTTATTAATGGTGAGCTTAGAAGCAATTTCCAAATTTCCTACCTTTCTAAATTTTAAAACAGTTTTAAACTGCAATGATAAGAATAATGAAGTTTCCATGGTGGACTTGTAAATGCTTGCTATCTGGGACTTGTATCACTTCTACATCTGGCCTCTGCTTGAACCCCTCCAGTAATGAGGAACTCACTCCTTCTCTCTCTCTCTCTCTCTCTCTCTCTCTCTCTCTCTCTCTCTCTCTCTGCTTCACAAATTTGCATGTCATCCTTGCACAGGAGCCATGCTAATCTTCTCTGTGTTGTTCCAGTTTCAGCGTACATGATGCCGAAGCAAGCACTCTTTTTTTTTTTTTTTTCAACCACTTCTGCACAAGAAATGGAAATCTGGCTGCTTTTAGCTTCTCCCAGTGGCCAAGATCCTGCATCCTAGTTCAGCAGAGGACAGAGGCTTTTACTCCTTGAGAACAAAGGTTGCAAGGCCAGACCTGCCCACCTCAGCATGAATGTCCATTGTCCCCACAAACTGGTTTGCTTCTTTTGGTGAGCCACAGGCAATGGCATCCTTAGATCACAACTTTAATTCTATGTCTTACCACCTGCCAGTCAGGCCGCTGGGGTCTTTGGTACATTCAACCTCTCATCAACTTTGTAGAACAAACCTAGACATAGGAGCCAATGTTGTGTCTCTCTTACATTGTACCAGAGAAGCCAGGTCACTGGCAAGGGCACTCAGTATATCTGTGACCTAAGGCAAGACCACGGGAGATCCCAACCCAGTGGAGTGGACATACAAATGTTTGCTAAGTTCTTTAAGATGACATTATATGTATTTATTACATTCAAAAATGCTTTGTTATGTGTCTGATATGGCTCAGTGGGTAAAGCTACCTTCTGACAGCACTAACAACCTGAATCTGGGAAGGAGAAAAGCTATTCCTGAGAGTTGCTATCTAACCTCCACACATGAAGTGGCTTGTGTGTTCACACAGACATGTAGATAGACACACACACACACACACACACACACACACACACACACACAATACATGAAACAATTATCTATATAGGACATGGAAGAAAGGAGACTGTGTAGGGGGAATGAAGATTTTTGCTGTTGCTTTTTATTTTTTATTTTTTTTTAAACAAAGTCTCACTGTATAGGTCTGGCTGGCCTGAAACTTACTTGTAAACCAGGCTGACCTTGAACTCACTGTAGCTGAGGATGACCCTGAACTTTTGACTTTCCTACGTTACCTTCCAAGTTCAGGGATTAGAGGCATCTACCATCATGCCCAGTTTATGTAGTGCTGAATGGAAGCCAGGTTTCTATCTACTGAGCTACATCTCCAGCCCCTATTCCCAGGATATCAGCATGTTTGGAGATAGCAGTAACTTATAGTCCCAGGCTTGGCTTCTTGGTAAGGTCTAGAGTGCCCGGTCAGCCGAGCCATAGAGTACAGAGCTCATCAGATCCTTGGATCTATGTGCTGGAGGTACTAGGGAGGTCCTAACCATCGGGGGCCTGTCTCAAGCCTGGTGAGTTCTCATAAAGACTGGCAATGCTGCCAGTCACCCCACTCTGCACAAACCCAGCATCCTGGGCTTTCTGCACCTCTGACTTCCCTCAAGCTCTTGGGCTTTGATTGGTGGAACTTCTGCCAAACTTCCCCACCCAAGAAGCCTTCCTCTCAGTCCGGGAGGCTCTCCTGCTGCATGCCAGGCTAGGCCTTGGCCTGACTCCCAGTTGGCCCTCGTTGCTCTCCTCGGCACCTGCTCCATGCTCCGTACAAGGCAGTGGAGGGTGGAGGAGTGGCTGTGGGTGACAGGCTAAATGGGATGTGAAGAAAGTCAGTCATATATATATATGAGACAGAGTCTCTCTATGTAGTTCTGGCTGTCCTGGAACTTCCTATGTAGAGCAGGCTGGCCTCAAACTCACAAAGACCCACCTGCCTTTACCTCCCGAGTGCTGGGATTAAAGTTGCTACCACATCCAGCAAGTCTTCTACATTTTTTAATTAGGAAAAAGATTTTAAAAAATTGTATAGGTGTTTTGCCTGCTTGTGGTCTGTGTGCCGCATGCATGCTGGTTGTCCACAGAGGCCTGAAGAGGGTGTCATATCCCATGGTACTGAAATTTAAGATGGTTATGAACAGTCATGTGGGTGCTGGGAATTGAACCTGGATCTTCTGGAGAAGGAGTCAGTGCTCTTAACCACTGAACAATCTCTCCAGGCCCCTCGCCCTAGCATCTGACTCCCATCACTCCTCTCTGAGCCTCAGTGTCCACACATGTCACGTGGGGGAAGCTTCATTCCATAACTCAACCTGTTTCTCAGGGACTTCATGAGGCTGAGCAGGAAGTGAAATTCTCAGGGTGAGTCATTGTTGTGGTCTGACCCTGTGGCCCCTGGGCCTCTATCCTGGTGTCCCCTCCCCCAGGGGTATTGTCATCCTGCTGGGATGGATTGGGTGCTCAGGACTTGATACCTGCATTAGAAATTAAGCAAAAGCATCAACCAGGAGAAGTAGGAACAGGTGTAAACTTAGCCAAGAAGCAGCCTACTGTCCTGCTAATAGGTGTGTGATGGATAGAATCCAGCAAACGCACCTAGGTCCAGGGCAGACATGGCAGGCTGTCTGATGCAACCAAAGAAAAGGCCTTTGTAGCCACTGGAAGCCAGGAATGGTAACCCATGCCTATAATTTCAACATTGGGGCAGCTAAGGAAAATTGAAAGCTTGGGGCCAACCTGGGCTACATATTGAGACCTTTTCTCAAAAACAAAACAAAAAAATGTACAGCCTGGCATGATGGGGCATGCCTGTAATCCCAGTACTTGGAAGGGAGAGGGAATTGGATTAGTAGTCCAAGGCCAGTCTTGGCTACACATTCAATTTGAGGACAACCTGGGATACTTATGACCCTATCTCAAAAAAGGAGGGCTGGGGGAAGAGAAAAATGAAAGAAAGAATTAAAAGTCATTGGAAGTACAAGGGAGTGCCAGAGAGAAAGAGACGCTGACAAAGCTAAAGACAGACATAAGCAGATGTCAGACAGAAGAATTGACATTCATTGCAAAATTAGTCATTTCCACAATGAGGGCTGATCAGGTGCAAGGGCTGTCCATCCCCACCTGGCTGGGATGGAGGGACTGGTGGAGAGCAATAGGAAACAGGACCTGGACCCCAGGGTCCCTGTTCCCTTCTCTGGGCCTCCTGCAGTCCTCTCTGTAGACACAGTTCTGGATCTGGGCTCCAACCTCCTGGGGCTTTTCAGACCTCAAGGGGCAGAAACCTGAGTCAGTCTCTTGGGCCCTAACCCAGCTTCAGGTCCCTGGGGGAGGGACAGGAAGGGAGGAGAGAGCTGCAGGAGACAACAGATCGCCTCCCTTTTTGGCCCCTCCCAGCTACCCTAAGGGCAGCCCACGCACTGTTCTGAGCTTGCAGGGAGGCCCTGATCCGCTTCCCCGGCTCTAAGGGGCGCAATGATCCAAGGCGAAACTCCGTTATGGGGCAGACTATGTCTAGCAACCCTTGGGGTTTGGTCCTAAACCCTGGGAGTTTAGGTTTCCAACAGGTCTCAAGTGATGCTGGCGCTGCAAGGCGGTGGACCACTCAGATTGCGGACTTTAAGACCTTAGCTCCAGACTCTGAGAGGTCAAGAGTCCGGTCCTCAACCGCACAGTGACAGCCCCACACTTAAGACCGTTTGCCACAGACACACCAGTCATCTCCTCCCCAGGACAGCAGAGATAAACTTCAGTTTGCCT